GTTTCAGTAATTGTTTTTAAACTTTTATTGGTTTCAAGAAATAAATTAAAGTTCCTCGATGCTGCTGCTGTTTACTGTTGAAAAAATAAATAATAGACTAAGCCACGGCGTAGGACTACGCACACAACGTATTGTACATATTTTATTACTAATGAAACTCGGCCCAGCTCCAATGTGATTATTAAATCAGGTCCCTGAAACTGCGATACTTTAAGACAAAAAATGTTTTTGTATGGAAACTAGCGACATCTAGTAGCGGATGCCCCTAAGCGTATATTATGTTGTTAAAGTTAACGCATTTAATTATTGTATAACTAAACACAGAAAATAAAATATTAATAAAATTAATAAATCATACAAGTCTTTGTTTGTTATAGACAAATAGATTAAATTTTATCAATTTGTGGTTTCTGAAAATTTCGTAAATCCTTCATTAAAAATTAAATATAGGATAGGTAATATATTACTGCCATCTACAGGAGCAATGAGAAACTAATCGAAGCGAAGCTATCCACTGGCCGACGCCTGTAAGCATTTTTGTTGAGTGCTTGAGTTGCTTATCTATAGCTAATTTATGTGTATTATCTATGGTACTAGGTACAAATATAAGTACCTAACAACCTAGGAACCTAACAAAAGACAAACATATCAAACTTAATTTATATTTTTATTGAAGATGTTGTTTTTATTACTCTCCTAAAATATTTGTAGAATTTAAACTATATTTTCTTAGATTTTTTATTTAATTCTAGTTAATTTATTCTACTAGCTTTAAATGAAAGTTGCTTAGATTTTACATTCCAAATAACTTATCACCTATTGGAATTATATCCTAGATCTTTATAAATAACTACATATACCTCTTTGAAATATAGTAAAAGCAGTCAGCATAGAAAATTCGGTAAAAGATTTATTTACATTTTGAAATTAGCAATGATGACAGACGAGTTTGTGACCTACCGGTTTTCACGACTATGTCACTACACGACTTCGAACATTATTGTCGTATAAAGATTGATATCTCATTTCCCCGGGGAATATTCAGGGAGAGAATTTGATTCCACTTTTAATTTTCGAGATGCATCAGGGAGGTAAGCGGCTCAAAATAAAAGAGGTGAATTTGTATTGGTCGGGTCTACTATTCTATTCAACAAATCAAAGCTTGAAAAAATAAAATTGAATAGCATTAGATCGTCCATTTATATACAGAATTGAAAACAGTAAACTATTGTTGCAATAGTACATTGATTACGCTACATTATGTATATTTCATCCAATTGCATTTAAACTTTTGTATGGCGTAATTCTCAGTTCTCTTACTTAAACTTTGTTTGAAACTGGTAATTGGTTTTATGGTTATGTTTTGTTTAGAACAGTGGAATTTAAAGTGAAAGACTTGTTAGACTCTTTGCTTCGAGAGCAAAAGTTTTATAGAAAACGAATGAACCATATCCGTTTACCGATGTAAAGAAACATGTGGGTATAAATGTTTTTTCTAGATCATATGAATGAATTTGAAAAGGGACATCAGGTTCGAATGTACTTTTGAATATAAAATCTTTGCTATTTGAAGGGTTTGTATAAGAATAAAACAAAGTTTCATTAGTAATATTATTATTTTCCCCTCAAGCCAATCTACTACGATGTGACGTAACGCTTGTAAACACGGACTTATCTGAATACAAAAATATAAATCACACAATCCCGAATTATTTTTCCGTCTAATACTCGTAAAGATGGCTCGCCGAATGCAGATTTTAATATGTAACAGTTGTTTTTGAAGCACCTGGTTTAACTTATAAACTGTACATCATGCGAGTACCAAAGAGTCGTACTTCCTGTAGAATCGTTCGTTTCTGTGTTGGCTTAAAAATTGAATTGAACTCGCTATTTTCCGCGACGGATCTCGGCCGGTGTCCCACAAGGCTCCGTTTTTAAACCATAAGTATACAACATATCCCGGCCGCCGGTGACCTACTTCGCCGTCGCTCCTGATACGGCTATCTATTACTTGAGTAGGAAGATATCTCGTCTTGAATTAGGCGCGGTAGCTTATACCGAAGCCCAAGTACCTAGGCGTCACTAACTGAAAAATGGATGACATTCGGCCCGGTCCGAGTGTAGGGCCGAGCCTCGTTCCTACTCAATCGACTCTACCCCATGATCTAGAAGCGAAGTGTATTGTCCCTTCACAACAAGGTGACACTCAATAAAACCTGCACTAGGTACGTGAAAAATGTCTATCTTCACGACGATGTAAATTTTGATACACAAGTATCTTAAAGTATCGTCAGAAGGCTACTTCGATAAAGTGGCGCGTCACAAAAGCCCAGTTATCGTGGCCACTGCTAATTACATGTCTTAAAGTCTTCTTGAGGATGGTTATGAACCGAAACTTCATAAACAACTCAACTCGAAACATGACGTCGATGTCTCAATTTTACTCTCTCAATCCAACTCAATTCGATCTCAGGTCTGAGAATGGCCGACGGTTTTCCAGTTGACGTATACCGCAATTTTGCTAACGCGTTTATTCGTAGATACCAATCTAGAAGAGCACTGGAAAATCAACCATAACTTTTTGTGATTGAAAGCATTTTTCATTACGTCTTCCAGTTTTGATGTATTTTATATCGTTGTGAAAAACGCACCGCGAACATTTTGCAATTAAAATCACAGTACCTTTTGCAATGCAACGGAGTATCGAACGCAATATCCCTATTCGACTATCGGAATCAAACGTTTATTCACGGCATTGATCGTTACTCGATTAATTATTTATTGCGCCATACGATTTTGACGAGCGCAATGCGCCATTAGATGGGTTTTAATTAACATCTCTTTTTAATGTTCTAGATGATCAGACATTGAGTTTTTTGATTATGTCATTAAAATCTCAATAGCTGTAGTACAGTGTTCCACTTTTACTCTTTCAGTGGAAACGCCTGGTTGCTTCGCGGCATGAATATACAAAGTGCTGGTATCCATTCTAGTGGGCTGACTACCTTAATAACCCATAATTCTTAGACAACATGTAATGGTTTTTTTTTATTGCTAACATGGGTGGACGAACTCACAGCCCACTTGGTGTTAAGCGGTTACTGGAGCCCATAGACATCCACAACGTAAATGCGCCACCCGCCTTGAGATATAAGTTCTAAGGCCTCAAGTATAGTTACAACGGCTGCCCCACCCTTCAAACCGAAACGCATTACTGCTTCACGGCAGAAATAGGCAGGGTGGTGGTATCCATCCGCGCGGACTCACAAGAGGTCCTGCCACCAGTAATTACGCAAATTATAATTTTGCGGGTTTGATTTTTATTACACGAAGCTATTCCTTCACCGTTGAAGTCAATCGTGAACCTTTGTTGAGTACGTATTTCATTAGAGAAATTGGCACCCGCCTGAGATTCGAACACCGGTGCATAGCTCAACACGAATGCACCGGACGTCTTATCTTTTAGGCCACGACGACTTCGACTGGTTAGAAATTTGTTGAAAATCTAGCTGCTGCGTATTATAATTTTATCATGTTTTTGTCATGTTTTTATCACTTTGTCTTATGTGTCTCATGTTTTTATGATAAAGTTGCTCACATTGCTGATGCTGCTGTTTTTACTATCGAACTGGGACGCATGGAATTTTTGCGTTAGAAATAAACAAGATGAATATTTACATATTTATAGTAAGTGAACTCTCTATAATAACCGATTTAAAGGGTTGAATATCTTATAGAACTTTTACATTTTCCACGGACTCGTTGGGAGTTTAAAGAGGAAGCTTTTTTAAAACGCAAATCCACAATGCATAATAATAGGTATAACGAGAAAATAATGTTCCAGCTCTGCGATTTCGAGAAATGATTCACCGCTTGGCCGTGACTTGAGCGATACTCGATGGTTACAGCCAAGCGTATTAGCAGGTGTTGTTATGATTATAGTAAAGGCAATTAATCAATTACCATGTAAAATAATCAATCAATTTTAAATAATGTAAATAAAATACAATTAATTAAAATATAAACTTCATAATAACTGTGATACAGTAATTATTTTGAAAAGGTTCAGACTCCATTTTTTTTTATATATTCTTTACTGTAAACATAAAGTGAATCCGACCAGATCCGCACCGCTCTTGATTCCACGTTTCACAACGCTCTCTACACCGCCAGAGACAAGAATAAATGGAGAAAGATCGTGCGTGGGAAGGTTATTCAAAAGGGTGGTCACGACCCTCAGCAATGAGGAATACGACGCAAGGAGGAGGAAAGTGAATTATGGATATTCGACGGGTAGTATTATAAGTCTTAGGTTATTTACACGCTCTGATTAGCGGGGTATGTTTGTATGTAAAGGAATCTTTGAACATCATTTACACCGATTTCAAACGTCCTATTAAGTCAAAAATTTCTCACGTACGAAACACCCATACTATAATTTTATAACCTTCTCTCTAATATCCTGACCAGTTTCAAGAGGATTTGATACTTAAACGTGTTTTTTGAGTTCTTAAGTTACATTTAAATCGTTTTTATTTAATTTCTGGATCGAGGATTTCCAGTAAAACATACACGATAAGAAATATGAGGTTGAACTATTTTACATTACAGTAATGGTTCTATAATCATTTTTCGATTAGTAGTAGAAAAGTGACAGTAAACGCGCGGACTTGCATCACGACTCACACTGCGTATACATTTTCTGAATCCGAAATAAAATATGTTCTTGTTTACTTTGATAATTTTTTAAGTAATTTAAAAAAAAACAGCAAATCTTCTTGATACTGGCCAGGATATTAGAGCGGAGCAATTTAAACATACGTATTTTCACACTAATAGATAGCGGAGCAGTCACACAGTAATTCACTGTATGTATTCAGTAGTAATCTAACTGTAAATTTATCTTCGAATAGGTACTTTGAAAATAGGATTCAAAACAACAGCGTGCATTTTCCCTTGTGTTACAAAGAAATGAAAAAAAAAATACAAAACGAACATACCTTTTTTTGAATTTTCGTTGAAAATTCTCTGTATTTCGCCAGCTTCCGAGCCACTCTCCGACTCTGAATATACAGAATGGCCTCCTCCAGGTAAATGAATTAATTTCGTATTGTTTATGACATGCGTTTTTTTTCCGGCACCAACACTTGTTGTTCTAACAGGAGGCAAGGGTGGAGTCCTTACATTATCAGTCAAATTAACACACTGTGGAGCACTCAACACTTTCCTGGGATTATGTCCTAAGTAATTAACTTTGTTGTTTTTGACGTTTTGTTCCTCAAGATTAACTTGTTTATTGTGCATATCAGGTTGAAACACTCTCCTTTCTTGCAATGAAATGGGCGATAAAGTAAGTAATTTTTCTGGATTCCTATAAATGATTTCTGGTTCCATAGAGGAACGATTTTTTATAAAAGTATCAGTGCGTCTTTCGGGGGCTCCTCTTTTAAAAGAAGCTTGAGCATAAACTGGTTGTTTCGTGTAACTTCGGAAATCTTGACCACGTGGGAGGCTGTAGCTTCTAGGTTCTACAGTAAATGAATTCGGAGAACTACAATTCGATAATGTAGAAGCATTTCGAGCAGAACCTCTTAGTGACTGCTTAAGCAAATATTCATCTTCTTTCTGGCGCATTTCTCTCAATTTTTGCCAGTAAAACGCTTCAACTTTTTGCCTCGTTTTTTCTTTTTCGTTTTCTTCAGGTCTAGGCCCTTCATTTTGTGATGTAGGAGTAGACTGGTAATTAAAATCCGATCTTGATGGTGACAAAGGTCTGTTGCGTTGACCGGTTCTGTTCAACGAATTCCTTTTTTCCTCGATTTCGATCATGTTTCTTCTCAAATGGCCGTATGGAGAAACCGTCTTAGGCATGGATGGTATCTTATGAGTTACGGGCATTGGAGACGTCGGTGCTGAGTAATTATATGGTTTCTTCACATTTGTCTGGCTTACTTCCTTTTTTACTTCATGACAATTTCCTTCCTTTTCTAGAGACAGGCTTCGAGCTCTAGTCGGCTGTATAGTACGCACTTCTGCTTCTTTTTTCGGAGATATTAAGAATTTTGTGCTGACTCTTTTTATTTCAGCACCAACAGATGCAGGATTCACTTGAGCCTGCGACGCCTTATAAATTTCAATTTCATCCAAAGGCGATATTTTATCAGACAGCTTCTCGAGTGAATGGTAATAAACGTCTGGGTAGAGTGAATTATCGTAATTAGTGTTCGCCGTCGGATGAACCATTTCGTTCTGGGGCTTCGGAGGTACCTGCGGTCTGGCCGCGTAATGCGAGCACTCTTTTCCGACGAAACGTGCAACCGGTTCGTTTAAATGGAGATTTCTATTTTTGACACTCTCAGAAACAAGCGTGCTACTCGACGAATGATTGCTCGGTATATCGATGTTCAAGGTTTCATTATCGGATTGTATGTTTGTTGTCGTTAAATTTTCATATATTCGCTCGCTATCGTCTCCTTGAGCATACTTATCTGATCTTATCGATCGTGGGCTCTGATATTGATTGCTTATTGACAAATCAGCGTTACATTTCAAGGTCGACTTCGAATCTTTGCTCGTCTTTCCTCTTGTTTTACTCGAGAAAAATAAATTTGGAAACAACTTCCGGAAACTTCCGGTTTTCTTTTTATTATTTTCTGACATTTTCAAGAATATCAGGTTTTATCTGAAAAGTAAAAATGTTTTAAATAAACATTGATAAAGCACAATAACTACCCACTTTTCATGTTTTTATAGAAACACTGGAATAACTAATATGTTGTTATAGGAATTACGCGAAAATGTATAGAGGTAATTCTAGGCTAAGCAACGTTACGGTGTGTAGCTGCCAATTAGCGATCTCTGAGTCTAATTGAACGTTTGCTGCTTCTTATATATCGATAGCTAAAATATATCGTTATTCATTCTCTTTTCAGCTATAACCACAGCGATATATGCATAAGTAAACGAATCATAGTGTTCCCGATGCCGTCAGTAATTTTAATTTATTATTAGAGACAATAAGCGCACGGCAAGTAATTAGCATTTGATAATATTAAAAGCACGATTGTAAGTTTTAATACTATTTCACCACAGTTGCTGCACTTGAATTTTTTACGTCTTTAATGGGCAATATTATCTTCGTTACGGGTTTTTCTCGTACGTTTGATATACAACTTAACGATATGCACTAAAATAATTACCTATAGTGGCAGTATCTTCAATGCTTGTGGAATATTAAAACAGTATTCCGATCTTGAAATCAAACCACACTGCGCATAATAGAGTCGAAAACCCCTATAATTCTATGGAAAAACGTAATTGATTTTAGAAGTTTTAATTGCTTTGTTTTTTATTACGCATGTGGGATAAGCTGGCACCCCACCTATCTGGTATTCAGTGGATACCGGAGCTCACAGCGCGAATATTGCCCCTAACTTGAGTTGTGTCAGTTACCGAAACCTCAAGTTAATTTTATAACGCGCAATGGAAATTTGAAGGATGGTAGTCACCAAGTCATAATGCGAGTTCAAAATACTCCCACTAAGAACGAAAAACTGGGCAAGAGCCATCACATTCAGTCTGACTTTAGTTTCTAACCCTATTTATTATATTTTTATTTTTACGTACAATCATCACTGACGCGACTTCATATTTTCTTATCTTGATTTTCGTTTTTTTCTTTCTTAACAAAACCGTTGTATATCTTCCAGTTTAATCAATAATAGTTATAGGTAGTTAAAATATTTGTATTCCGCTAGCTGATTAACAAAATACAGGTATTTATTGCACAACCTTTGGATCTAAAATATTCCTAAACTACTGTTTTATAATTATCACACTACAACATGACTTAAGTTTTTTTATTTTTTATTTATTGCTTAGTTGGGTGGACGAGCTCACAGCCCACCTAGTGTTAAGTGGTTACTGGAGCCCATAGACACCTACAACGTAAATGCGCCACCCACCTTGAGATATAAGTTCTAAGGTCTCAAGTATAGTTACAACGGCTGCCCCACCCTTCAAACCGAAACGCATTACTGCTTCACGGCAGAAATAAGCAGGGCGGTGGTACCTACCCGCGCGGACTCACAAGAGTTCCTACCACCAGTACTTACGCAACATGTTGTCCTTCAATAGGATTTTATCTAAATAATAACAAATAACGAGAGCGACCGCTTCTTGTTCTAATTAAATGAATTCTTCGCGGCAGAAAGCTACTTCGATTCACACACAAAGCTACACGCATAGCGGATGAATTAAATCACAGCTCAACAAAAAATTCAACGAAAGATAAAAGAAACACATACTTAGCAAACGCATATAAATTCGAGTGAAGCAGCAAAACATTTTTATCACGTATTACAAATATACTTTGTAACAGGCAGCTGGGCTTGTACGAGATAAGTTTTTAGTTGGCTTGTAGAATATTTTTCAGTATAATCACGAAGTCCGAAGTCAGATAAGAGAACGGGTGTATGTTTTATCACACCGTAAGGCGTGCAAGATAAATATGCAGTATAGGGAATAAGGTCAAACTCGTACTGCACAACGGGGCATTGTGCTTATTCACTTTTTATAACATTGAGACGAATTCCAGTCTAGATGATTATTGAAGACAAGATGGTGGTATCTCATGAATTATCTGTTGTATTAGAATAAGCTGTCTTTTTATCTGTTTTTTATCACTGAATTGACCGTTATCTGTATCTACTAATCTTTATATAGATATTTCTTAAAATTTTAAATCGCTTTAGAAAGCTCCGAAAAAAGATCACGCTGAACCAATTAATCGTGAATTTCGCGTCTTGTGATCATTGGGAATTAAAACAAATAAAAGTACTCTAAAGTATAACACTTAATGCTTTGGAGTGAACATACTTATGTAATAATAATACTCGCAGATGTTTGCATGGAACGAAAGTTCGATAGTCAATGTTGCATTGCGATTGTGCTTAATTAATCAATAAGTTTATGTTGGAATGCGTTTGGAAATTAGAATACTGTTGTGTGAATATCTATGAGAATCCGGTGACTAATTGATATCAGATACACGGCGAACTCCTTTTTAAACTTTAGCCGAAGGAAATCGTGCCTTATAGATGACAAAATAGATAAATTAGTTCATCGTACCTACAGTCAGAATATGACAATGATTACATTAAATTACAAAGCAAAAAAAGAAAAGCTCGTCAAAGCTATCAAACAAATATCACAGAATGTAGACTGAGAAACAGTGGCGACAGAGGCTACGAGCTGTTTTGTCTTGGTTTAAAACAGAATATTTTAATATTAAAAAAATATAAAAATCTGTTAAATAAAATCGTGAATAACATTACCGTCTCTAAAAGTCATAAAAAAATATTTTGGTATTTTCAGCCAAGAATATCTACGGTAAAGATTGAAAAAAATGCCTATTCATATTTTTTTTGAAAAATCCTGTTATTTTTTCAATTAAAATTTAATAACGATATCTTAGAACGTTGAATTTGCAAGAACAAGCTCGAAAATTTCATCACAAAATTTTAACCTGCTTAGATGATTTCCTTTACGATTTTAGTTAAACGAAATCATGGCTCTTTTATTACATTTCTCGTTCGTTCATCTCGGAAGATTAATATTCGTAACAAATTTCATCTCAGTTTCACAAATTCATCCGTTACATTGAAAATTTCATTTCTGTCATTTTCTAATAAAAAACTTTGATTAATGACCTAATGTTTTTGTCAGGGTATTTTATTTTTTTAAATCAAATTATCATCTTCGTACACAGGTGTACGATAATTAAATTTCATTGAATTTTAAAGTTTTATAGAAATACGGCCTTACCGCCAACTGCAAATGATCTCACGACTGACTTTTTGAAATGTTGCACAAACTGCGGCAAAGCCTGGCGCCAGTATCACGTTCAGTTGATTGCGCGGGTACCGGGCAAATTGACGGGAGATTTCAAAATATAAACCCTAAAATCGAACATTCCTACCAGCGAAATCCGCCCCGATTTCCCATTACGATAAAAATAACAATCATGTTGTGTTGATTCAATTTTACAGTGGACTGTGTTTATATTAAAATTGATGAGTAACTATTAAACAATAAATTTGAGTTATAACAAAAATTATCACACAAAGACATACCTTTATGTAATCTTAAGTAATCTCAATCTTAAGAAATCTTACTATGTTATAAGACCAACTCTTTTTATTTCGGGACGGGGGCCGAACTTCCTATGAGGTCCGCGCCTACGGAGCACCCGGGGCATATGGGACTTGACGATCTGCTGATGTTGAGAGTAAACGAATCCCCTGCACTCTTACACTCGACGTCCGATTTACACCTGACATAAGTTGAGTAACTCGCGTTTTATTCCACTGTTAAGATGGTACATGTGATTTAATTAGTATTAAATTACTGTTTACTAAATTTCAGCAGCTGCAGAACCATTTTGGTCGTTGCTGAAATGTGTGGAGGTAATCTTGACTTCACCGTTTCTAAAAAAGTAGTGAAAACAGGCGCACAATGCTTTACCTCTCGTTAGGCAAAAGACGCTGCTGATATCGAATACGGGTAAAGTCAATAATTCCAGCCCGATCACAAAATGTGCCGGCGTCAGCACTTCGAACTCCATTAGACCACCAAACAGTGGACATAGCGGGCTACAATTGAGAACTGCCTCAACCCGAGCAAACAGCGTTCTGAACAGCGCTCTTTGAATAAAAATGATTTATTGAAAGGATTGTAGGAAAATCCCTTTCAAATATAATACAGTAGTACTTTATTGTAGACTCATTTAAACTACACATTTAAATTACCACCACTCCGAGGGTTATGGCTCCAACGAATATTGCAACAAGTTCTAATAACGGATTGGGCTATGTTCCTCGCAGGAGACTACTCCTTGAAAAAGACGCGCAAGTCACTCGCCACGCAAAATGAACTACCTGCTAAGCCCCATCGGGCTCCACCACACCCGTTACACCAAACCGGCTACGCCTTCGCCGGTACCCGTCCTTACGATATGACGGAATTTCGCGTCCGGGAATATCCCGAAGGACACCGTCTCAGAAAAAAGTACCTAAGGTTTTTAGTTCTAGGCTTGCAGTTATAGTTTGGGGATATATACGACAAAGGAAAGATCTTCCACCGAGCGGGTGATATTGCTCGGTAGACCGACGGTCCGAATGTTGTTGTTCGGAACTTGTATATATGCAAGCTTATCTTGAAAATGTCGTAAGCGAGATTCAGGCATGTGTCAATTATCTTGCGTTGTATGATGGCTACCCGCCACATCACTCCCCTCCGAGACTGGAGGTCGTGTCATATTTAGTTATCGTTGTCCGTGCTGAGATTAGCTTGCAAGTGCCAGTGCTGCTCGAAGTTTGCGGTGAGTCGAAACTGAGCTTGAAATGCTGCGTGATTGTCGCCAGTGCTGTTCGAAGTCTGCGGTGAGTCGAGACTGAGCTTGAATGCTGCGCGATGAGGCAGTGTAGGTGCGTGCCGTAGGGCCAGGAAGCGCGGTGAGTCGGCTGCGATGGTCCTGTTGAGGCTGCGATGCTGGCTTGCTGTGGGACGACTGTCGATGACTTGCCTTTATCTGCGAGAATGCGGGGATTGTGGTAGCCGAAGTTCTTGATGCGCTGATGATGAATCAGAAGGTTGCGTGTTCACATCACGTCGGGGTCACCA